ATTTTTGATGAAATCAAACAAAGTTTAATTTTGGACCCTTTTGACCTCAATGTGGACAAAGTTGATAACGGGGCCCAAAAATCAAAAATCTAAATACATGGTTAGATTCAGCATATCAAAGAACCCCATATATTCAATTTTTGTTGAAATCAAACAAAGTTTAATTTTGGACCCCGATTTGGACCAACTTGAAAACTGGGCCCATAATCAAAAATCATAATACATGTTTAGATTCAGCATATCAAAGTACCCTAAAAATTCAATTTTTGTTAAAATCAAACTAAGTTTAATTTTGGACCCTTTTGACCTTAATGTAGACCAATTTGAAAACGGAACCAAAAATTAAGAATCTAAATACACGGTTAGATTCGGCATATCAAAGAACCCCAATAATTCAATTTTTGATGAAATCAAACAAAGTTACATTTTGGACCCTTTGGACCTCAATGTGGACCAATTTAAAAACGGGGCCCAAAATCCAAAAACTTAATACACGGTTAGATTCAACATATTAAAGAACCCCAAGAATTCAAGAATAAAACCCCATCGAAATTGATCAAGAAATAAGCAATTTATACGAAGTATCTTCTTTTGCACAATACTGTGCAATTGAATATTTCTTGCTATTGTGCAATACTGTACAATTGACAATTTCTTGCTATTGCGCAATATTGTGCTATTGGATATTTCTTGCTATTGCGCAATACTGTGCAATTGAAGATTTCTTGCTATTGCGCAATACTGTGCAATTGAAGATTTCTTGCAATTGTGCAATACTGTGCAATTGAAAATTTCTTGCTATTGCACAATACTTATTATATAATAATTTACACATCCTGTTTGGTGTGTATCTCCTACCATATCATTATTATTTGCTTTTAAATATTAATCAGAAATACCCAACTTAAAATGGAAAATTTTAAAAGAAAAAAAAAAGGAAAAAAAGAAAAAAAAAAAAAAAAAAAAAATCCCCCCCCCCAAATTTTTTGAACCCCCTTATGATTCATCACCCCCAAACTCAATCCCAGCCATCCCTTTGTGGTATGGTACCTTGCAGTACAATTTCAGAGAGATCCATACACTTGAACACAAGTTATTGTCTGGAAACTAGAAAAATGCTTATTTTTGGCCCCTTTTTGGCCCCCAATTCCTATTTATTTCGGGCAATTACCCCCAAACTCAATTCCAGCTTTCCCTTTGTGATATGGAACCTTGTAGTACAATTTCAGAAATATCCAAACACTTACACACAAGTTATTGTCATGAAACTAGAAAAATGCTTGTTTTTTGCCCCTTTTTTGGCCCCTAATTCCTAAAATTTTGAGGCAATTACCCCCAAAATCAATTACAGCCTTCCCTTTGTGATATGGAACCTTGTGGTACAATGTCAGAGAGATCCATACACTTACACACAAGTTATTGTCTGGAAGTTACAAAAATGCTTATTTTTGGCCCCTTTTTGGCCCCTAATTCCTTAACTGTTGGTACCATAACCCCCAAAATCAATCCCCACCTTCCTTTCGTGGTATTGAACCTTATGGTAAAATTTCATGGAGATCCATTCACTTAAACTAAAGTTAGAGTGCGAAAACCAATGTGTCTTCGGACGACGCCGGACGACGCCAGACGACGACGACGACGACGACGACGACGACGACGCCAACGTCAACGTCATACCAATATACGACCAAAAAATTTTCAATTTTTGCGGTCGTATAAAAATGATAAAATTATCATTGATACCTTTATCTAACGTTCATTTCGAGTAATTTCTTGAAGAAATAACATGGAAAGAGCTTCTTAAACTTAATCGTGCTTAGTAAACGTACACGGATTTCATGTATCTGTTTCTGGTCGATCTTACTATTGTCAAGTCAACATCTGGTATTAGGAAATGTGCTTTTTAAAAACGAGAGTAAAGTTTTTGACAACATTATTTTGCACAAATAAAGAGTCTAAGGCAGATATTAGTACGCTGATGTTGCACACTTCGAATGATGCACTGTCAATTTAACATTTTACGTCAGAACATAGAGTTTATATCAAAGTAAAGTTTAATATTCGTTTTTTAATGTCAATCATTGGTTATATGATGACCAACTGATTACCATGGTCCATAATTGCCTTTTGTTATTAAGTCTTAAGGGATTAAAATCGGGATAAGACATAAAATGTCCAGCTGGCTCAAGTATTTTTTGGAAGCCCTGGTTAGAACCCCCAAAAATTAAAGACTTTAAATTAAACCCATTGAAATTGGTAAAAAGATTTGTATTTATTTTCAATTGAAGATTTCTTGCTATTGCGCAATACTATGCAATTGAAGATTTCTTGCTATTGTGCAATACTGTGTTGTTGCGCAATACTGTGCTATTGCGCAATTGAAGATTTCTTGCTATTGTGCAATACTGTGCAATTGAAGATTTCTTGCTATTGCGCAATACTGTGCAATTGAGGATTTCTTGCTATTGCGCAATACTGTGCTATTGCTCAATACTGTGCAATTGAAGATTTCTTGTTATTGCGCAATACTGTGCTATTGTGCAATACTGTGCAATTGAAGATTTCTTGCTATTGCACAATAGTGTGCAATTGAAGATTTTGCTATTGCGCAATACTGTGCAATTATTTGAAATTTCAAAAATTTTCAAGAAAAAATATATGCACCCCCAAAAAAATTTGAAAAAAAAAATCCCCCCAAAGTTTTGGAACCCCCCCCCCCCCCCCCCCCCTTGGAGTAATTACCCCCAAACTCAATCCCAGCATTCCCTTTGTGGTATGGAACCTTGTAGTACAATTTTAGAGAGATAGAGAGATACATACACTTAAACACAAGTTATTGCTTGGAAACTAGAAAAATGCTTGTTTTTGGCCCCTTTTTTGCCCTTTATTCCTGAACGTTTGGGGCAATTACCCTCAAACTCAATCCCAGCCTTCACTTTGTGATATGGAACCTTGTGGTACAATTTCAGAGAGATCCATACACTTACATACAAGTTATTGTCTGGAAACTACAAAAATGCTTCTTTTTGGCCTCTTTTTGGCCCCTCATTCCTAACCTGTTGGTACCATAACCCCCAAAATCAATCCCAACCTTCCTGTTGTGGTATTGAACCTTCTTGTTAAATTTCTTAGAAATCCATACATTATAACTAAAGTTATTGTCCGGAAACAAAATGTGTCTTCGGACCAGGGCTTTCAAAATTTTGTTGAGCCAGCCGGACATTTCATATCTTATCCCGATTTTAAATCCCTTTAGACTTAGTAAATTAGGCAACTATGATAATCAGTTGGCCATCATATATGATATAACCAATGATTGACATTAAAACAATGTTAAACTTTACTTTGATATAAATTCTATGTTCTGACGTAAAGTGTTAAATTGAAAGTGCAGCATTCGAAGTGTGCAACATCAGCGTACTAATTCCGCTTTAGACTCTTTATTTGTGCAAAATAACGCTGTCAATAGCTTTACTTTTGTTTTTAAAATCACATTTTCCTAATGCCGGATGTTGACTTGACAATGGTAAATCACGGATCAGAGACGGATACATAATATCCGTGTAAGTTTACGATTGAGTTAAGTAGCCTTTTCAAGTTATTTCTTCAAGAAAATACTCGAAATGAACGTTAGATAAAGGAATCAATGATAATTTTAGCATTATTGAAGAATTAGGATGCATAATTAAATTTCCGACCAGCGGACAATAGACACATGCGCACACGTGTACTAGTTCAAACAACGTGGTTCTGACGATTATTCGTTTAAAACCTTTTCAAATTTTTCATTAAATCATATTTATTAACGTATTTCTTATAATTTCAATCTTTTAGACTAAATTAATTAGATGTAACCCGCTGAAATGTAAGAAAATAACTTTGAATACCCTTTAGCGTACCCCAGTATTTAACACGATGTACAGTGTTTTTAAATATAATAATGAATATCATACATATTCGAATTCATTTATAAATATTCTTATTTGAAGAATTATTTTAAAATCTAAGGAAATTTTTTTAAAACTGAATGGTCATTTACAATAATATCTACAAAGCGTAATTAAATAGGATGTTGTTCCATACACGCTTACATGTTTGACCTCGTTTACCTGATCACCTTTATGTTCATTGTTATGCATCATCAATTCTATTGATTAAGACAAGCTAAGGTCTCTCATCAAAGATAATGACCTGTAATCAGTGAATGATTTATGGCTTCAATATTACTTATTGAAGGGATAATTGTTTGACAGCTTGTTGTTTTTTAAATAAAAGAACAATTTTTTTTCTACTTTTTATTGATGTACCAAGCCGTGCATTTGTGTACCCAGAGGATTAGACTAACTGAGACACTTCAAAGTATGAAATATGCTGCATCTGTTTAATTAAACCCAAATATGACCGAAATATCTTTGTGAAATAGATTGCCACAATTATAAACTATAATGCCCAAACGGACATTTTACCGATCGATAGTTGGTAAAAAAAGTGAAATGACCGTTTTATGAAAATGCCTTGAATAACAAAAAGTGGCAAACCTATGATATTTGACCGTTTGAGGCTGAGAGCAGCCAGACTTTTTATATAAATTTCGGTCAAGTCCGGAATATATGACCGTTTTGGAAGCCATGCTTCGGATGATATTGACATCATCGCATTATATGACGCAAAAATTTTTTTGCGGTCGTATAAAAATATGAGAGTGTTCGGTATACAGAAAGTTGTTGAGTGATGAATCTTAAAACGCATCACACAGTATAGCTGACTTATATAAACCCTGAAACCAAATTTCAGAAATCCTTATGATGTAGTTCCTGAGAAAGATGCGACGAAAAATATTCATGGGACGGATGGACGGATGGATTGACGGACGTACAGACAGAGGTAAAACAGTATACCCCCACTTTTTTAAAGCAGGGGTATAATTTAAATGGCTCAAAATATCTTCCTTTAATAAATGACACAGTTGACGAAACCAGTGATGTATTTCAGATTCATACCTCCTCGATAATACTATCCATTTCTTGCTCCATGGCTTCTTTAACTTGACTTTGTAAATCTGATAAAGATGCTTTGTTTTTCTCAAGCCTAGTCTTCAAATCTGTAAATTTTGTGTCCTTTAATCCTATAAGTGTACATTCAACATAAAAATATTTTGCAAACATTCATAATGTGAAAATAGAAAACCTTTCCTTATCTGCATTCAAAATATAATAAGTAAATTAATGCACTCCTCTAATTCTTATCTTTTTCTAAATCTTTGTGATATTTTTTGGTACCTGACAGTTAAGAGTTTGATATTTCCTGCATAGTTCTGATGAACTGGAATTATATGTATTCTTATTTAAGTATTAAATCTGATTGACACCACCCCTTTAGTAGTTACTTTCACAGTTACTTTACAGTCCAGTTTTTATGCTGATAAAAAAATGATATTAATTTGGAAGGAGGTTTTGTGGACCATTTGGCAGACTCAATGATTTAATATTGTTTGTACAGACACTTATGTATAAAATGACAGAATATTTTGGCAATAAAAACACATAAAACAAACCTTTATCAAATTCTTCAATCAAGGAATTGTCATCTTCATCAAGGAGATCATCCATATCTTCTGTTTTATCTGTTTGGTCCATCTCTTCAACAACTTCTGACACCAAGGATTTTGACTTATCTTTTGGTTTGCTTCTAAATTACAATTTTTAAAGAAAAAAGAGAGACAATAAAATATTATTTCAACAAAATTCTTAGAAATCCCAATTTAAAATGAAAAATAAATGTGGATAGTGTCCACATGTGTCCACAGATGATGCCCCCGCTTGCATATCATATAGTTATATAGGGACATAACTGAAGAACGGTAAAAGTGACGCTACCCAAATTTGAACTTGATCTGAGTTTTGCGGTAATAAGCATTGTGTGCAAGTCTCATAACATTTGGTTGAGGCTAACTTAAGTAGAGAACAGAAACTTAAAATTCAGCAAGAATGGTAAAAGTGTTGCCACCAAATTTCGTACTTAATCTGTATTATATGTAGTAATAAGCATTGTGTATAAGTTTCATATCATTTGGTTGAGGCACTAAAGTTAGAAAACGGAAACAAAAAATTTGTACTTGATCTTAGTTTTGTGGTAATGAATATTGTGTATAGGTTACATAATGTTTGGTTGGGGCAAACTTAAGTTACAGAATGGAAACTAAAAATTTTGCAATCTTTCGAGTTATAAAGGGGCATAACTCAATAATTGTTAAATTGACACTACCCAAATTCAGCTTGATCTGTGTTTTATCAGTGGAGGTCAAAATTAAACATTGCATTGTATAAATCATTGAATGTAGTTGATTCAATTATAATCATGGACAAAGGAAGATAACTCCAATTTTAATAAAAATTACTTGATATTTAGAAGAAAATAAAAATTTTGCAATTTTTCCATTTATAAAGAGGCATAACTCTAGAACGGTTAAAGTGACCCCACCAAAATTCAAACTTGATCTGTGTTTTGTGGTAATAAGCATTGTGTATAAGTTTCATAACATTTGGTTGAGGCAAACTAAAGTTAGAGAATGGAACCGATAAATTCAGCAATTTTCCATTTGTAAAGGGGCATAACTCTAGAACGGTAAAAGTGACACCACCAAAATTCAAACTTGATCTGTGTTTTGTGGTAATAAGGATTGTGTATAAGTTTCATAACATTTGGTTGAGGCAAACTAAAGTTAGAGAACAGAAACCAATTTTGGGACGTAAGTACGTACGTACGTTCGTTTGTACAAACGGACAAGGGTAAAACTTAATGCCCCCTCCGCTACGGCGGGACAGCATAAAAATATCCCTTTTTATGACACATGTACTCTAATGAACATTTATTCATTTATAAATCTATTTATTATCAGATTAAAGCTTGAAATTAAACAGCACATAGACATCAGTGTTATAGCTAGAATATATGGACTGAATGGGATAGTCAAATGAATGAGACACATGCAGGGTAAGCATTTTCAAGTTTTTTTTCCTTTACATTTACAAAATTATAAATAGTCTCAATTATCTGTTTTCTTTACCCAAAATTAACTTTCTTCTTTCATTATGCCTTAAATAAAGAAATTAAATGGGGAATATGTCCATTGGACACAGATGATGCCCCTGCTTGCATATCATATAAAGTTATAAAGGCATATAACTGAAGAACATAAAAGTGACAATACCCTAATTTGTACTTGATTTGAGTTTTGTGGTAATAAGTATTGTGTATAAGTTTCATAACATTTGGTTGAGGCAAAAGTTAGAGAACGGAAGTGAAAAATTCAGCAATGTTTCCATTTGTAAAGGGGCATCACTCTAGAACAGTTAAAGTGACGCCACCAAAATTCAAACTTGATCTGTGTTTTGTAGTAATAAGCATTGTGTATAAGTTTCATAACATTTGGTTGAGGCAAACTAAAGTTAGAGAACGGAAACCAACTTTAGGACGTACATATGGAAGGACAAGGGTAAAACTTAATGCCCCCTCTGCTACATGGGGGCATAAAAAATCTTTTCCCATTTCTTATGTGCCACTGCCATTAGCTTCAATATGGAAATGTCTTATAAAAAGCATTTTTTCAAAACTGTAAGAGAAGCCAGTAATACCTACTACTGTGAAAGTACTTTTATTCGTTGGTATCAATTTTCGTGGTTTGAGCAAAATTTGCATGTTTGTGGGTTCTTAAATTTGTGGATTTTAGTTTTTTGAAAGGAAAAATTTGGTGAAGAATGTGAAGCCATCTGAAACAAAAACACGTGAAAATATTCATATGTTGTTTTATAATAATTTCTGGGACATTGCAAAATGAGGTGCTCATTTTCACCTACTTGTTCGTCTTTCATTACTGACAACATTCATCAAACTTTTAATAAGATAATTGCTTTCTGAAATAAGCCAATTCATCTATTCTTAAAAATGTTCTCTATTGAAGGAAATTGCAAAGTAAACATATCAATTGTTGCATAGGCGTTATCAGAAGTGATGACACTAATTACCCCAGATTGTTTGATCAACAGATTAATGGTCACCAAAGGTGTTAATTGGGCCATAAACATGTCACTTAAAGAAAACGGTTACATAAAATAGTACTACCGGCGTTTTACGTTTCCCATATTTGGGTTTACTTTTCCGGGAAAAAAAGATGACGTTTCCACAAAAAAAAGTCTACGTTTCCGGAAATAAATACCTTACTTTTCCGAGAAAATAGTAACGATCCTGGGAAAAATAAATTATTACTTTTTCGAGAAAATAATTAAGGAGTACCTTGAACTTTGTCCTAAATGAAACCTGCCACAACTGATTGTAGCAGCATGAAATTTTTGTAACAGCAGTATGCATTGACAAGTCAAAGTCAATATGATCTACCTTGGGCTGGAGAGTTAGTCTTCGGGTAGTGCACACATCAATAAGCAGAGTCCCACATTTTGATGATAAAATGCTTCGCTGGGGCGCAGCTTGATACGACCGCAGAGGTCGAACCCTGAACAGTTGGGGCAAGTATGGACACAACATTCAAGCTTGATACAGCTCTGAATTTGGATTGTTATTAAATATTTGACACAGCATAGGTTTCTGACACAGAAAGAATGTGGTCTAAGAACTTGAATTTTTTTAATTTACCTATTATGGTCCAATGTCCAAAATCAAAATACATGGTTAGATTCAGCATATCAAAGAACCCCATATATTCAATTTTTGTTAAAATCAAACAAAGTTTAATTTTGGACCCCAACTTGGACAAACTTGAAAACTGGGCAAAATACATGGTTAGATTCAGCATATCAAAGAACCCCAAGAATTCAATTTTTTCTAAAATCTAACTAAGTTTAATTTTGGACCCTTTGGACCTTAATGTAGACCAATTTAAAAAACGGGACTTAAAATTAAAAATCTAAATACACGGTTAGATTTGGAATATCAAAGAACCCCAATAATTCAATTTTTGATGAAATCAAACAAAGTTTAATTTTGGATCCTTTTGACCTCAATATGAACCAATTTGATAGCGGGGCCCACAAATAAAAAATCTAAATTCATGGTTAGATTCAGCATATCAAAGAACCCCATATATTCAATTTTTGTTGAAATCAAAAAAAGTTTTATTTTGGACCCCAACTTGGACCAACTTGAAAACTGGGCCCATAATCAAAAATCTAAATACATGTTTAGATTCAGCATATCAAAGAACCCCAAGAATTCAATTTTTGTTAAAATTAAACTAAGTTTAATTTTGGACCCTTTGGACCTCAATGAAGACCAATTTAAAGAACGGGACCCAAATTAAAAATCTAAAAACACGGTTAGATTTGGCATATCAAAGAACCCCAATAATTCAATTTTTGATGAAATCAAACAAAGTTTAATTTTGGACCCTTTTGACCTCAATATGAACCAATTTGATAGTGGGGCCCACAAATAAAAAATCTAAATACATGTTTAGATTCAGCATATCAAAGAACCTCATATATTCAATTTTTGTTGAAATCAAACAAAGTTTAATTTTGGACCCCAATTTGGACCAACTTGAAAACTGGGCCCATAATCAAAAATCTAAATACATGTTTAGATTCAGCATATCAAAGAACCCCTTACATTCAATTTTTGTTGAAATCAAACAAAGTTTAAATACTGGACCCTATCTTGGACCAACTTGAAAACTGGGCCCATAATCAAAAATCTAAACACATGTTTAGATTCAGCATATCAAAGAACCCCAAGAATTCAATTTTTGTTAAAATCAAACTAAGTTTAATTTTGGACCCTTTGGACCTTTATGTAGAGCAATTTAAAAAACAGGACCCAAAATTAAAAATCTAAATACACGGTTAGATTTGGAATATCAAAGAACCCCAATAATTCAATTTTAAATGAAATCAAACAAAGTTTAATTTTGGACCCTTTTGACCTCAATATGAACCAATTTGATAACGGGGTCCACAAATAAAAAATCTAAATACATGGTTAGATTCAGCATATCAAAGAACCCCATATATTCAATTTTTGTTGAAATCAAACAAAGTTTAATTTTGGACCCCAATTTGGACCAACTTGAAAACTGGGCCAAAAATCAAAAATCTAAATACATGTTTAGATTCAGCATATCAAAGAACCTCATATATTCAATTTTTGCTAAAATCAAACAAAGTTAAATTTTGGACCCTTTGGACCTTAATGTAGACCAATTTGAAAACTGGACCCAAAATTAAAAATCTAAATACACTGTTAGATTCGGCATAACAAATAAATAAATGTGATCAAAGATTTTACAAATCTAATGCGCCATACTGTGCAATTAAAGATTACTTCTTGAAATTTTTCAATATTTGAAATTTGAAAAAAAAATAATATTTGAAGAATAATTCTTTTTAATTTCTGAAATCTGAAATGAGAAAAAATTGACCCCCCACAATTTCTTTTTATCCCCCCCCCCCCCTCTTTTTTCCCCCAAAAAATTCTTTCCCTCAAGATATGGTCATAATCTCAATTCAAATTTCCAATGGAGTTGGCAACCATAATTACCCATTTAAATTTACCATAGTGCTAACTTAATCTATTTTATAATAGAATTAAAAATATAGTGTCAAATCTTTCATATGGATTTTTTTGTAAAAAAAAAAGATGCAACATTTGCAGATATTTTTACTGGTCTTCCTTTATAAATATGCATTTCTTTAAACATAATTTAAAAGCAGTGTAAGGGAAGTAACAAAAAAGTTGTATTTGGATTACCTCCCTTACACTGTTTTAAATTATCTTTATTGTTCATTAACCATTACTTTATACATAATTTAAAAGCAGTGTAAGGGAGATAATTTCAATGATGTATTTGATTTATCTCCCTCACACTGCTTTAAATTATGTTTTGTACTAAAGTATTTGTCCATTAACCAGGACAACCTTGTTTTTCCCCCTTTTTTGCCCCTAATTCCTAAACGGTTTGAGCCATAACCCCCCAAAGCAAATCCTAACCATCCCTTTGTGGTATGGAAACTTGTAGTATAATTTGAGAGAGATCCATACACCGTTCCACAGTTATTGTCTGGAAACTAGAAAATGCTTATTTTTGGCCCCTTATTCCTTAACTGTTGGTACCATAACCCCCAAAATCAATCCCAACCTTCCTTTTGTGGTATTTAACCTTATGGTCAAATTTCTAAAAGATCCATTCACTTAAACTAAAGTTAGAGTGCGAAAACCAATGTGTCTTCGGACGACGACGCCGGACGACGACGACAGCGCCAAACGACGACGACGACGCCAACGTCATACCAATATACGACCACAAAATTTTTTGCGGTCGTATAAAAAGTGGAAGTTTCGCAAACACAAGAGGAATGAAGTTATCATTTTACACCCATGTATCGAATATTCAACTGTGCTATCTGTGAAAATATCAGTTTTTTTTCATTACATAGACGATCATAGACATTTCAAGTTGGTGAAACATAAAAACATAACGATTCCGACATCATCATCATCTTTCACTAAGGTGACACTTTCATTTTTTTTTATATCTAGTGTATTGTAGATATAAGATCAGAACCTTTTTTGTATAAATATATGAAATAAATAATTTATCTAACATATATTCAAATATTAATAATGTACTACCAGGTAAATTTCCGGAAAAGTAATAAATACAATTTCTGGAAACGTATACTTTAAGTTTCCGGAAACGTAGTATTGGAACTTTGAAAAATTAGCGGAAATGCAATACGCCCAGTACTACAAATGTACTTTGAATTGTAGAATCTATTCTTATGAAATAAAAAATAGCAAGCCCTTAATGAAATTATTTACATTTCGTATGATAATTATGAGGATATAAAATGAACACTTCATCACCGGAAGTCTGACTTTTACCGATCAAAACTAATTTTCATGAGAATTAAAAGGTTAAAAGTCGTACAGTTTAGGTTTTTTAAAGATAAATTGACAGAATCCTGTCTGAAGTTGCATCTTTAGCTCATAGTGCGTTTGCTGATATTCGATGTAGTCAAACCTAAGCTAATGGGGATCTTTCCATGTCCTGATTTGGACAGTTCTTATATCAAGGATTTGTATAGTATTATTATATTACTATACAAATCCTTGCTTATATATATTTCGTTAGACACTTATATTCGTGGATAAAGCTATCCACGGAAACCACGAAAAATTAGAACCCCACGAATAAAAGTACTTTCACAGTATGTACATAGACTAATGGACTGGGGACTAAAACAATTAACGAAGGCACATTAAAGTTCCTTCCTTCATTTACAAGTCACAAAGAAAGTGATAATGATTGAAACAAATTTTTCATTTGGTTCAACTTAAATTACTGCATGCCATGTGAATAGTGACACCTATATATACCATAATGCATATAGTTCATGTAAAAAATTCCAAAAATATTCACAGACTTTCATTGTTAATTTCTGCTTTAAATTTCACATTTCCAAGTAATAGATCATTATGCAGGCTATTATGATAGAACAAATACCTACTTTTCAAAAGTAAGAGTAGTTTTCTTTGAACTTTCTGTATCTTTTTCATCTGTGTCTTCATCTGTTTCTGAATTTTTGTCATTAAGATTCACCACAGAATCTGATGTCAATTTACCACCTGCATTTTCAGTTTTCTTTAAATCTTTGAACACTTTTTCCAGGTCATCCATGTTATTTATGACCTGTACTTTCACTTTTAGTTCCGCATCTGTAAATAAAATTATTTAGCTGAGTTTTGCCAAGTGAAGTTATAACTATAAATGTCAAACAACAAACCAATGCACATTTTAGTTAATTTGGTACCTGCATTTTAGTTTATATCACTTTTATTTTTTTTTTCAATTTAGTCCAAAACTTTTATAATAACATGTTCTAATGTACAAATATGCATGTTTTTGTTATTCTATGATTGGTTGTCTCTATACAAGACAGACAAACGACAGGACTGAGAATAAAACAACTGTCCAGTGATCAGTGCACTCTGAGCAAGAATCTAATCCCATTTGAGTATGTGCCAAAGACAGCCTGTCTGTTCTATGTTTTAGGGTCAAAAGTAGCTATTTGAATGTTTACATCTACACTACCAGTACATAGGTGTCTATTGATGCAGCATTTGTTGATGTGTATGGTGACAATATACTGCCTTCACAGTTTGCTGTGCTGTAGGGATCTTGTCTAGAAAGACTGCAAATAACTCGTTATCTTCTTTACAGGTGTCTTTGTCTCTTTGAGGCCTACTACCATATTTTTATTATTTAATTCAAGTCTGGTAAGAATACACAAAAAAAGATAGCAGGAATTACAAAAATCATTGGACAGTACATGTACAACAGACCACTCTAACTCCTCAAGTGATGGCCAAGAGTATTTTTAAAAATAGTTATCCTTTCAGTAAATCAATGCCAGAATCAGTTTATGTATCTATATTCTAGTTGACATCATTAATTCTATTAATTAATTTTACCTTTCAGCGAATTACTAGGGGAATCAGTTTTGGTAACAGTATTCTAGTTGCCATCATTGGTTCTTATATAAAATTTCATATTTCAGTGAATTACTAAAGTGAATCAGAGTTGGTTTAACATTGTTACTATTATAAAATTTATCTTTTAGTGAATTACAAAGTGAATCAGTTTTGATATCTGTATTCCAGTTGAAATTATTGATACTATTATAAAATTTACCTTTCAGTGAACTACTAAGTGAATCAGTTTTGCTATCTGCATTCCAGTTGACATCATTGATACTTTTTAATTCACCATTCTCATCAAAAACTTGAAATCCTTCTTCATCTACTTCGTCTACTGTTTCTGTATAATCTGCAATATGTCTACACATTATGTCACATCTTTAATGTTACTTATCCTTGGTGTTGCTTTGTAAAATATAGACTGATTCTCAAATGCATCAAGTGAAGCTAATTCTGTATCTTAAGCAATTTTAGTTTATGTATCCTTTATTTAATCAACTGTGTAACATTTCTGAAACATATTTTGCCTAAATCTTTCTTTCGTGATCATCTATACAGTGGAATTCCTTTTGTTTCTTTAAAATATATTTTTTGTTAGAAATACAATGATTAAAGCAAAACAAGTCAAAACAATTTATAATAAAGTTGCAAATTAAAGCTTATCATTGACAGGTATCAATCAAATTCACTCAAACTATAAACTAGTTTAACTGTAGCATTTTCTATCATGATTACCATGTAAACAAAATGCATAAAAAGAGATATACATTTACTGGTGGTTAAAGCAATAAAGAATATACAACAAAACTAATATAAACAAAATACATTAAAACTCATAACTTAAAAAAATATAACAAATAAAACGGTGGTCAACAGATGCTCCCAGTGCAACAAAGTGGCATAAAAATATATAAAAATAAAGTTTGCCTTGATACAGAAACTTTCTTACTGTTCATTTTAACCTATTTCAACTTGAGATTTAACAAAATCTACTAGACAAAACCAAAAAAGCATTAAAATTGTGCAATCAACATGTGAAATCAATTTTCATTGAAAAAAATAATGACAACAAGATAAAAACAGATTTACAATCAAGTTGCAATCAAATCTTTACCAAAAGTCAATTCAAAGTGAGCTAAAAATATAATATTTAACATTAAAATATTTCTGGCTTCTAAAAATATAAAAAACTTTAATAACATTAAAATATTTCTGGCTTCTAAAAATATAAAATACTTTAATAACATTAAAATATTTCTGGCTTCTAAAAATATAAAATACTTTAAAATTAAGTAAAATTGTAGTAATTTACATTTGCTAAGGGTATTTATTGTCTTTTATTTAATTTCAAATTGTATGAATTAAACACAGCTAAACAAACAATTTAATATAACTTGTATATCGGATTTAATAACAATACTGCAATTTACTAACATCTCATGTCTATCATGATGATACTCGTCCTGTTCCTTTTCATTTAAAGAACAAGCATTCTGAGAGTATTGCATGGCAATACATAGTCCCCTACCGGGTAAAAATTCATTATACTGGGACAAAATGCTAACTTGTTCTATAACTTGTCATGGTGTAAACAAAAAGAAAATATCGAGTCAATATCTTCAAGCATGACTAAAAACAGTGTGGAAACTGAATATATGAGTAATTTTTTTCAAGTCCAAGGACCATAACTCTGCACAAAACAAAATTATCAGACTGAAACAAAAATTTGAACTTTGATCTGTAACTTGTCATGATAAAACTATATACCAATTGTCAATCAATATCTTCAAGCATGATGAAAAAAGTGAGGAAAACCTATAACACTCTAACCTTAGATATGATTAATAGTTCTCTAAAATTAGATATGATGTAATACAATGTATATCTATTTTCAAATTACAATCAAATATAATTAATAGTTCCAAATATTTTTTCTTTCATTTGTCACAAACTAATTAAGATTTGTAACTTATCTATAAAATGCCAACAACTTTTATCTACACAATGTAATGTAATGAAATATATACCTTAATAAAAATAGATTATTATCTAATTAAAGGATATCACTTAATAAATATTAATAAAATGCTCCGCAGGGCGCAGCTTGATACGACCGCAGAGGTCGAACCCTGAACAGTTGGGGCAAATATGGACACAACATTCAAGCTTGATACAGCTCTGAATTTGGATTGTGATTAAATATTTGACACAGCATAGGTTTCTGACACAGAATGAATGTTGTCTAAGAACTTAAAAATTTTAAATTGGACATTCACCTATTATGGTCCAATATCCAAAATCTAAATACATGGTTAGATTCAGCATATCAAAGAACCCCAACAATTCAATTTTTGATGAAATCAAACAAAGTTTAATTTTGGACCCTTTTGACCTCAATGTGGACAAAGTTGATAATGGGGCCCAAAAATCAAAAATCTAAATACATGGTTAGATTCAGCATATCAAAGAACCCCATATATTCAATTTTTGTTGAAATCAAACAAAAAAAAAGTTTAATTTTGGACCCCGATTTGGACCAACTTGAAAACTGGGCCCATAATCAAAAATCTAAATACATGTTTAGATTCAGCATATCAAAGAACCCTAAGAATTCAATTTTTGTTAAAAATCAAACTAAGTTTAATTTTGGACCCTTTGGACCTTAATGTAGACCAATTTGAAAACGGAACCAAAAATTAAGAATCTAAATACACGGTTAGATTCGGCATATCAAAGAACCCAAATAATTCAATTTTTGATGAAATCAAACAAAGTTTAATTTTGGACCCTTTGGACCTCAATGTGGACCAATTTAAAAACGGGGCTAAAAATCCAAAAACTTAATACACCGTTAGAATCAGCATATTAAAGAACCCCAAGAATTCAAGAATAAAATTCCATTGAAATTGGTCAAGAAATAAGCAATTTATACAAAGTATCTTCTTTTGCACAATACTGTGCAATTGAATATTTCTTGCTATTGCGCAATATTGTGCTATTGGATATTTCTTGCTATTGCACAATACTGTGCAATTGAAGATTTCTTGCTATTGCGCAATACTGTGCAACTGAAGATTTCTTGCTATTGTGCAATACTGTGCAATTGAAAATTTCTTGCTATTGCACAATACTTATTATATAATAATTTACATTCCTGTTTGGTGTGTATCTCCTACCATATCATTATTATTTGCTTTTAAATATAAAACAGAAATAACCAACTTAAAATGGAAAATTTTAAAAGAAAAAAAAAAAAAAAAAAAAAAAATCCCCCCCCCCAATTTTTTGAACCCCCTTATGATTCATCACCCCCAAACTTAATCCCAGCCTTCCCTTTGTGGTATGATACCTTGCAGTACAATTTCAGAGAGATCCATACACCTGAACACAAGTTATTGTCTGGAAACTAGAAAAATGCTTATTTTTGGCCCCTTATTCCTAAACGTTTTGGGCAATTACCCCCAAACTCAATTCCAGCTTTCCCTTTGTGATATGGAACCTTGTAGTACAATTTCAGACAGATCCATACACTTACACACAAGTTATTATCATGAAACTAGAAAAATGCTTGTTTTTTGCCCCTTTTTTGGCCCCTAATTCCTAATATTTTGAGGCAATTACCCCCAAAATAAATCCCAGCATTCCCTGTGTGATATGGAACCTTGTGGTACAATTTCAGAGAGATCCATACACTTGAACACAAGTTATTGTCTGGAAACTAGAAAAATGCTTCTTTTTGGCCCCTTATTCCTAAACGTTTTGGGCAATTACCCCCAAACTCAATTCCAGCTTTCCCTTTGTGATATGGAACCTTGTAGTACAATTTCAGAAAGATCCATACACTTACACACCAGTTATGTCTGGAAGTTACAAAAATGCTTATTTTTGGCCCCTAATTCCTTAACTGTTGGTACCATAACCACCAAAATCAATCCCAACCTTCCTTTTGTGGTATTGAACCTTATGGTAAAATTTCATAGAGATCCATTTACTTAAACTAAAGTTAGAGTGCGAAAACCAATGTGTCTTCGGACGATGACGATGACGCCAACGTCATACCAATATACGACTGCAAAAATTTTGCGGTCGTATAAAAATTATATATATATATATATACATGTAGCATTCAGAAAATTAGTTTATACAAAATAACATAAAAACCTGCCACAAAATTCCTCATACAATTTACCAAAGAATGTCTTTTAAAAAATGAGTTATCTCCATTTGTACAGATAAATGGTTTAACACAGTACTCAAACATTGGTTTATATGTAGTTTTTTTATGGACCATAACTCTGGACTAAATCATTAGACCAGGATAAAATTTGAACTTGATCTATAACTTGTCATGATAAAACTATATACCAAATATCAAATCAATATCTTTAAGAACGAAGAAAAAAAGTGTGGAAAACTGAGTTGCTGGACTGACGGACAGACAGACAAAGTGCAAACCTAAAGTCCCCTTCGACTTCGTCGGTAGGGGACTAATAACAAACCGTTATTAGCTGCGTAAATGCAGTCATTTGAGAATTTGACATGCAGTTTTACCGATTATGCACCAGAAAAATGGGTACCGGTGTATTTGAAACTGTGAAGTCTCAAATTGATGGTATCAACTAATAAAACAAAATACTTATGCATTACTTAGAAATAAATCAAATGAGCTTTGGAACAAGTGTTAACACTTTTTTTTAACAAAATACTACGAAATTGGTAAATGATTCTGGTGAAACAACATCATAGCAAAACAGGACATCACATACAGTTACTGCATGTAAATTGTATTGATTGATTGATTGTTGGTTGCTTAACGTCCAGTGGCAAATATTTCATGCATATTCAGGACGAGAACAAATTAACAATACATACAAAAGGTAGGTTCTGTAATAGAGGCGTCCGGGATTAAGGTCGGAGAAATTTGGACTGCCACGGGAAATGAGGGTATATTGGAAATTTAGCCTTGCAACAGGTCACCTACGGACCCCTCAAAGAGTTGTTGCAAGGGTTCTTAACGTGCAAAGAGCGTGGCACTCTCTTAACACGAGGCATCGGATTTAACGTCCCTATTCTGACCGGACTTGGCTGCAAATTTGTACATCCCACACAGCCAAACGGACGCCCCACATTAGCAAGGGTTTTACTGCCGGTCGGAGGAAGACTAATGGTGACCATACTTCTATTCCCCAGTCACCCTTGGGGGTCATGTAAATTGTAGATTTGATGGCAAACACTAAAGCAAGGAATAAAACTTTTACATATAAAGTGTGTAAAACTTGTCATATCATTATATGATAGTAGATAAAGTAAATCAAGCCTTCTGAAAGTATCGCATATCCACTAAGAATCTGTAAATTCTTTTCATGGGACTTTACACTAAATATTTAATCAATTCATTTAGGCATTACAGAATAAAGTGCAGAAAACTGATATTTTGAAGCTTTTTTCTATGTCCAAGGACTGCAACCTTTGCAAAAATCACTCCAAACTTAAACTCAAGCTTGATCAGTAACTTCTTATGACAAGATTATGTACCAAGTATTTGATTAAATAATTTAAACTGATATTTTCAAGCAATTTTCTTTGTCAAAAGGCCAGAGCTTCCACAAATATTGCTAACCAGAACAAACTCAAAACTCAATCAGAAACTTCTTATGGTAGGACTATATGCCAAATAAACAGATTAAAACTTTGCAGAACAATGAATAAAATTTATTGACAGACTGATGGTTGGAGGGAGTGCAAACCTTAAGTCCCCTTTGGCTTTGCCAGTAGAGGACTAACAAAGAGTACATTGGTTCATTTTGTTTCTTGGTCTTTCACTGTCAGAAAGAGAAAAAATAATGAAGTTTTCTTTGGTATCTTTTTTAAAGAAAAAAATACTTACTACTAAATTTACAAATCAAATACAGATACTTGTAAAAAAATACATACGTAATTTCTGTTCTGCTTGTTTCATTCTCTTCTCTTCTTCCTCTTTCATTTTCCTTTCTTTTTCTTCTACAATGACATCAATATGTATTATAGAACAACAAAAAACAAATAATGAGATCTTGCACAATTTTCACAAAAAACAAGCATTCTGAGAGTATTGCATGGCAATACATAGTCCCCTACCGGTTAAAAATTCATTGTACTGGAACAAAATGCTAACTTGATCTATAAATTGTCATGGTGTAAACTATATAACAAATATCAAGTCATTATCTTCAAGAAAGACGAAAAAAAAGTGTGGAAAACTGATTATTTGTGTGAATTTTCTTAAGTCCGAGGACATAACTCTGCAAAATGATCATCCGAACCAAACAAAATTTGAATTTGATTTATAACTTGGCATGATAAAACTATATACCAAATATAAAATCATTATCTTCAAGTATAAAAAAAAATATGCGGAAAACTGATTTATATTTGCATGAATTTTCGAAGTCCAAGGACAATAACTCTGCACAAAATTATCTGACCGGAATAAAATTCAAACTTGATCTGTAACTGGTCATGATAAAACTATCATAAAATCAATGTCTTCAAGCACAAAAAAATAAATTGCTTCGCCGAGCACAGCTGGATACGACCGCAGAGGTCCAACCCTGAAGAGTTGGGGCAAAAATGGACACATTATTAGCGCTTGATACAGGTCTGAATTTGGATTGTAATTAAATATTTGACACATAATAGGTTTCTGACACAGAATAACTGTAGTCAAAGAACTTAGAATTGGTTATATGATTTGAATTTATATTCAATTTTTTGCTTTTGTGCAATACACTATGCTGTTGTGAATTGACCCCCTTTTTTTTTTGCAAAATAACAAAAATATTTGAAGAAATTTCTTTTTAATTTCTGAAATCTGAAATGAGAAAATGTTGCCCACCCCACCCCCCCCTTTTTCCAAAAAAAAAAATTCTTTCCCTCAAGATATGGTCATAATCTCAATTCAAATTTCCAATAGAGTTTGCAACCATAATTACCCATTTAAATACATCATAAAAGTCTTAAAATAGAAAATGACATACATAATCATGCCTAAAATTAATATTCCTTAATCAGCATTTTTAAATAGTAACTTCTAAAAAATAAATTGACAGCTAATCACAATACAACATTTCTTTATAAATAATTTAAAAGCAGTGTAAGGGAGGTAATCCAAACATAACATTGTACTTTTTTTAAATTGTCCTTTAACCAGGAAACCCTTGTTTTTCCCCCTAATTCCTAAACGGTTTGAGCCATAACCCCCAAAAGCCAATCCTAACCATCCCTTTGTGGCATGGAAACTTGTGGTATAATTTCAGAGAGATTCAAACACCATTCCACAAGTTATTGTCTGGAAACTAGAAAAATGCTTATTTGGGCCCCTTTTTGGCCCCTAATTCCTAAACTGTTAGGACTATAACCCCCAAAATCAATCCCAACCTTCCTTTTGTGGTTATAAACCTTTTTGCGGTTGTATAAAATCTGGAAAACTGATTTGCTGGCCTGACGGATGAACAGACAGACGGAGTGCAAAAGTTAAGTCCCCTTCGACTTCGTTGGTAGGGGACTAAAAATGTGTAAGCCAAGAACAATACAATATTATTGCAATCAGTTTTTATCTTAATTTTTTGTGCTATAGATTCTTTTAATTGATGGTTGCTTAATATCCAGTGGCAAATACTTAATGCATATTAAAGACAATAAAATGCTTCGCTGAGCGCAGCCAGATACGACCGCAGAGGTCTAACCCTGAAAAGTTGGGGCAAGTTTGGACACAAGCTTGATACTGTCTGAATTTGGATTGTGATCAAATTTTTGACATAATATAGGTTTCTGACACAAAATAAATGTTAAAAATTTGAAATGGGACATTTAATTTACCTAGAACCGTCTGATATCCAAAATCTAACAACATGGTTAGATTCAGCATATAAAAAAACACCAAAAATTTAATTTTAGTTGAAATCAAACAAATTTTAATTTTAGACCCTTCAAACCTTAATATGGACTAATTTGAAAACAGGGCCCAAAATAAAAAATCTAAATGCACAATAAGATTCAGCATATCATACAATTGCAATAATTCAGTGTTTGATGAAATCAAACAAAGTTTAATTTTGGACCCTTTTGACCTCATTGTAGACCAATTTAAAAATGGGGCCCAATATCCTAAAAAGTTATACATGTACAAGGTTAGAACCCCAAAAAATTAAAGACTTTAAATTAATCCCATTGAAATTGGTTAAAAGATTTGTATTTATTTTCAATTGAAGAGTTCTTGCTATTGTGTAATACTGTGCAATTTAAGATTTCTAGCTATTGTCTGTGCAATTGAAGATTCCTTGCTATTGCGCAATACTTGCCAATTGAAGATTTCTTGTTATTGCGCAATACTGTATAATTGAAGATTTCTTGCTTTTGCGCAATAGAAGATTACTTGCTATTGCGCAATACTGTGCAACTGAAGATTTCTTGCTATTGCACAATACTGTGCAACTGAAGATTTCTTGCTATTGCGCAATACTGTGCAATTGAAGATTTCTTGCTATTGCCCAATACAGTGCATTTGAAGATTTCTTGCTATTGCGCAATACTGTGCTATTGCTCAATACTGTGCTATTGCGCAATACTTTGTTGTTGGGCAATACTATGCTATTGTGCAATAATGTGCAATTGAAGATTTCTTGCTATTGCGCAATACTGTGCAATTGGAGATTTCTTGCTATTGTGCAATACTATGCAATTGAAGATTTCTTGCTATTGCGCAATACTTTGCAATTGAAGATTTCTTGCTATTGCCCAATACTGTGCTATTGTGCAATACTGTGCTATTGCGCATTACTTTGCATTTGAAGATTTCTTACTATTGCACAATACTGTGTAATTGAAGATTTCTTGCTATTGTGCATTACTATGCAATTGAAGATTTCTTGCTATTGCGCAATACTTTGCAATTGAAGATTTCTTGCTATTGCCCAATACTGTGCTATTGTGTGTTTGATGATTTCTTGCTATTGCGCAATACTGTGCAATCATTTGAAATTTCAAAAATTTTGAAGAAAACAAATATGAACCCCCCAAAAAAAAATTGGAAAAAAAAAAATCCCCCCAAACTTTTTGAACCCCCTCCCCCTTGCAGTATTTACCCCCAAAGTAATCCCAGCCTTCCCTTTGTGGTATGGAACCTTGTAGTACAATTTTAGAGAGATCCATGCACTTAAACACAAGTTACTGTCTGGAAACTAGAAAAATGCTTGTTTTTGGCCCCTTTTTTGCCTCTAATTCCTGAACCTTCGGGGCAATTACCCATAAACTCAATCCCAGCCTTCCCTTTGTGATATGGAACCTTGTGGTACAATTTCTGAGAGATCTATACACTAACACACCAGTTATTGTCCGGAAACTACAAAAATTTTTGTTTTTGGTCCCTAATTCCCAAACTATTGGTGCCATAACCCCCAAAATCAAAACTCAAAAGCAATAAAAGTGACGCTACCCAAATTTGTACCAGATCTGAGTTTTGTGGTAATAAGTATTGTGTATAGGTTACATAATGTTTGGTTAGGGCAAACTTAAGTTACAGAACAGAAACTAAAAATTTTGCAATTTTTCGATTTATAAAGGGGCATAACTCGATAATGGTTAAAGTGACGCCACCAAATTTCAACTTGATCTGTGTTTTGAGGTAATGAGCATTGTGTATAAGTTTCATAACATTTGGTTGAGGCAACTTAAGTTAGAGAACGGAAACTAAAAATTTTGCATTTTTTTTTTCATTTATAAAGGGGCATAACTCTAGAACGGTTAGAGTGACGCTACCAAAATTCAAACTTGATCTGTATTGTGTGGTAATCAGCATTGTGTATAAGTTTCATATCATTTGGTTGAGGTTAACTTTAGTTAGAGAACGGAAACTACAATTTTTGGAATTTTTCCATTTATAAAGGGGCATAACTCTAGAATGGTTAAAGTGATGCCACCAACATTCAAACTTGATCTGTATTTTGTGGTAATAAGCATTGTGTATAAGTTTCATAACATTTGGTTTAGGCAAACTCAAGTTAGAGAACGGAAACCAGTTTTGGGACGTACAGACGGACAAGGGCAAAACTTAATGCCCCCTCAATACACATTGTTGAATATAATGCTGCTAACATTCAATGCAGCTGTGGAAAATATCATTGCCTTTTCAGTGAATGAACAGCATTAAATATTGTCATAAACAAAAAAGTCTTTTCAATGCACATGAATCCAAACTGCATTTAGATATAGTTGGTTCATATAATATTTATAATATAAATTAGACAAATATGATACCAGTTCTCTCTGTATGCATGAATATAGTGCCACCAACATTTGATTAAGTAAACAGTGACATTGAATTACAAATTGAAATGGTTGTGGTTGTAATAAACATTTAATGTCCCTCCCAAAAAAGGCAAGATTCTGTCATTCTTGGAATATTTAAAGAAAATTAAAATTCTGATAACATGCACACCCTTAATACCTGTCATGTCTTATTTCATCAAAACATGACAAAGTCCAACAACCTGCCACTTGTGGAAAATTTAAAGAAAATAAAAATCCTGATAATATGCATACTTTTAGTATATGTACTAACACCCTACTTAATATATATAAGTTCTAGCTTGAAAACTGTAGAAGGAATTAGCTGAACAAACCATGTCAATATATAAGAGGGTCAGAAAGACTGAAGGACCAACAGACATTTTGTTACGGGGCATACACATGCACATATGCAATTAGAATCAATGACTCAAATTTAGTATGTTATTTTTTTAACTGTACCCTGAACATAAAAAAAAAAAAAAAATTAAAAATCTTTTGTATATAATCCTTAAATTCTATATGTAACCTGAACACAAAAAAAATAAATAAAACAATTTCAAAATATTTGTATATAATTATTAAATTCTATGATACAGACCCTCAACCATCTGATTATATTCAGCAAACTGTTCTTCAGTCAACAAAGGATTACAAGTTATGGGCACAGCCTGGCTTTGTTTGATTGGTTTAAGGTAAGGATGGTGACATATCTTGTTTGTGTGGATAGTCATTACATAACTACAGGTCTCTGGCTCATCTATTCTCCCTATGTGATCCCCTGATCCCTCATCACATACAAACTGCAATCAAAAATACATATTATAGTTTACAATAACACTACTCCAATCAGATACCTCATTAATGAGAAAGCCAAATTCCTACAATAGTAAGAGTCTAAACATTTTACCATTGAGAGTTGAAAAATATCAATTTTTATCATATCATCAGACAAGGTTGCCTTATGTAGCAGTCTAAAAATTTAAGAGGCATTATATTTTATCAGCAAAAATTTATTCATACCAATGAAAAATTGAAGGTTTGATAAAGTTATTGATTGTTATAAAAAAACAGATTGATACTACATTGATACTACATTTTTAAATGATGATGATCTGACAACAGAATGTAGAATCATTATGTCTTCTCGCTCCCTAGACCTTTGTGGGAGACTCATAAAAAAAGATATGCATACTATTCCTTCCTATAAGGAAGTTGATTGGTTAAGAACAATTGTAGATTTACAAAAGATTGAAAAAGGTACAATGCATGCAAAATGTGAGATAAAGTATTTTGATATGTTCATTCAATGTGGATCCTGGTAGATTCTGCTAGATACTGATATGTGGATTCTGCTAAACAACAATTTGTGGATTCAGCTAGATACTGATGTGTGGATTCTGCTAGATGTTGTAAGGATTCTGTTACTCAAATAACACAATAACTTACCCTAATTTCTGTTTTCCTTTTATCACCAGTAAGATCACACTTTGACCCATTGACATATGACTGAGAATGGTATCTGTTTAACTTGTTATAGGACTGAAATTCATTAGTAAACACCTTATTACATTTTAGATATGTCATCATAAAAATATCTAATATATAATTGAGAGCCCAATTTACAATAGTTATAACTGAAAAAGATTTCAAAAGCGGTATAATATTAGGTATGTGATGAACATCAGCAATCATTTTCTTTTGGACATAATCAAGCAGATTAATTTTTCCTTTTCTTTTTTATTGAGCAACAGGTAAGCTCTATCAATGCACTGAAATATTGAACAATAAAATGGTATCTGCGTAATATACTCTGAGTAAATTTGCACATACCCTGCAAAATTCTCCAAGTAAAGTATGATGCAATTTCTACAAATAATTGAATTGTTCTGGATTTTTTTTATTTTATACTTATATACTGGAGAACATAAAAACCGAACTGAAAAATGCAGAACATTTGTTAAAAAAGACATCTAAAATTTTATTGTTCAAAATTTGAGTGCAAGGATTCTGATCACCTGCTGCTCAGGGAAAAAAAGGATAGTATAATCTGTTAGATATCAAAATTTAACTTGTAAACAGAAAGGTAGTCTATGATTATAACGATCATCTTGCTCCAAAATTGACATAATAAGCCTTTATAATAATAAAATTGTTATGTGAAAGTGAAATTTATCTTCTGTGGAAAGTGTATAAAAGCCAACTGTTTCTGAGAAATTAACCATCATCATGAAGCGGTTTCAGTCAAAGTTCCATACATCCATGATGGTTTGATGTCCGAAAAAACCTTAACCAGACTGAACTGAAAACACAACAATGCCTAGAAACGATAGTAAAAGGGAATCAATGTATTAGTGAATTACAGGTTTCAAATATTTTAAACTTTGTTAAATTGGTTGTAAATTTTCCCTGTATACAAAACATACATTGGTTACAGTGTATGTGCAAGCACTAATAAGCTCTTTTTATTGGGTTTGGTTGCAGCAATATGTCTTGATTGCATGTAGGTCCTAAATTGTCATACAGATTAATTGTTAACATTTACTGACATTTTGTTTTATATTCTGCCCTAAGTTATATCACATTATATGTATTATGATGCTGTAAAATACATCTAACTACTATTCAGCACAGATTGTGTATTACTGTATGTTAAATACCTCTTCTCTTTCTGACCAGTCCTTCTCTGATTCATAGTAACCTAAATATACAATATCTCCAAGTATCTTTCCATCTGAAAAAGATAACAAAAATCTGATATATCATGAGCACATGATATGCTTGCCCTTCTTATATTACCATAACTAAAGATAAATAAAAACTTGAAAGAATTATAAAAGAATAAGATTAGGTTGCAAAATTATTGAATAACATTTGTAGGTTGTAAAATTGTTATAAAAATTCATGGACAAACACTGTTTAAAAAATAAAAAAGTCTCTATGGTACAACCATTGAACTGTTTTCAGATTCAAAACAATATCTCACATTCATCCACAGAAGTCACTTTAGTAAAGAAATAAATGTGGATGCATTTATAAAGGGGCATAACTCTAGAACAGTTAAAGTGACGCCACCAAAATTTAAACTTGATCTGTGTTTTGTGGTAATCAGCATTGTGTATAAGCTTCATAACATTTGGTTGAGGCAAACTTAAGTTAGAGAACGGAAACTAAAAATTTTACAATTTTTCCATTTATAAAGGGGCATAACTCTAGAACGGTTAAAGTGACACCACCAAAATTCAAACTTAATCTGTATTTTGTGGTAATAAGCATTGTGTATAAGTTTCATAACATTTGGTTGAGGCAAACTCAAGTTAGAGAACAGAAACCAATTTCGGGACGTACGGACTAGATAGGTCTTGTTATGGCAATCTATGGTGCACTAGATAGGTCTTGTTATGGCAATCTATGGTGCACTAGATAGGTCTTGTTATGGCAATCTATGGTGTACTAGATAGGTCTTGTTATGGCAATCTATGGTGTACTAGATAGGTCTTGTTATGGCAATCTATGGTGCACTAGATAGGTCTTGTTATGGCAATCTATGGTGTACTAGATAGGTCTTGTTATGGCAATTAAGAATTGATATAATTTAGAGGTGAAAATCTTAACATTTCAAGAGACATTTAAGCAATTTATAATATGAGAGGGGAGTTACATGACCTCTGAGAAAATAAAAAACTTTTGGTGCACTTGAAGTTATCTTTGCAAGGCAGAATATATTTAAGATATGGGTATCTGAACAGTTTTAGATATTTTCAACAGTATAATAGGGATATTGTGTTAATGAAATTTAGAAAATCAATTGAAATTTAGAAACCAATCTTCCTCATGTTTATCTTTGATTGGAATTCCTTGTGTGGGTTTGACCTTTGGTCCTTTTAGGTTCTACCAACTTTTCAATGTTGGAGTATCACCAAAAAGACATTTATTGTTAATACATTGTATGTACATCTGATGCAGTAAAATTGGTACAGTCAACATAATTTAAAGTTATTACAATGTAATGGACTGGGACTGACAGGGAAACCAATGGGGCACTGTAAAGGTCTTGCCATGGCATTGAAGATTATATATTGCTTAGGATCTGGGATCTGAAAAATGTTTAGGATACTTAGCAATTAATTAAATGAAGTGTGTGGAAGGTATCCCCTGACCATGTGAGAAAGGGCAGGGCCAAATAATCTTCATGGAAATGAAATGTGCTGATACTGATTCAACTGCTTCCCAAATATTACTGAAATTAATCTCAGAGATCAATTAGAGTTTTAATTTCTACTTTTATACCTTCAATATGAAATTGTCGAATATATTTTCCATAGCAGAACTCATAACTCCACCAATCCTTTGCCTGAAAAAAATATATACTAAAGGTAATTAAGATACAATAAACCTAAAAAGTGACTTAATGTATATTACAACATTTGAAGATATGTGGCATACACAGCAAAATTTTGCATTTTTTCACTTTGATATTCTAAACCTTCTTGTAAAGTGTTAGATTCAACTAGAATCTTTGGACAAGTACATTGTACATTGTAGTCACTGTTTTGACAGTGACCATACCCTTTTTACAGGGTACATTTTCTGATAAATTCTCAGTAAATGATTCTTACATAATTTCAAAACTCCTAGAACAGTTGATCTTGTGTATTCTTCTTACTGCTCCTATTAAATGCATTTTACACATTAGGAATTAGAAAAAAATTGGTACAAACTGTTTGTCTTATTCTAATCGATATGTAAAATAATTTCATGTCAGAAAGCATTGAATATACATGTACACTTGTTGTAGGTCAGAATGACTTACTTTTGCCCTAATGCTGACTTCTTCCCATATATTCTTCTATACAGGTATTAAAGACATTCCTATTCCCCATCACGCTTTGAATTGATGGAAATTATTTTTAAAGAATTTAAGCAGAACAAAAAATCATATACCTTCAGCAAACAAGGTACAGATTCTAATGGTTTAAGTAATTCAGGAATTCCAGTTTCTAAAGCTTCTTTTTCCTTTTCTTCAGTTTTTCTTTCTGTTTCCACTTGGTCTGGAAAATGACATTGGTATCTCTGTCCATATTTTGATGTCAAATGGATGTGATTCACCGCCAATTCTACCTAAAAATATACATTCCAGCTGCGTGTATATCATAATATAAGGTAAAGAAACAGCAATGCAGTTGTGTCTACAGTGTAAGTGTATTTCATTTTACAATTAAATGTGGGTATTTTGCTTTTCATCTTACCAGATGGGGATCCACTGTGTGTCACTGTCGTCACCATATATTTGTTCAGCTTAACAGAAGTTTCCCCTGAAGTTGGCAAAAATGGTGCACCATATAGAATACAAATTTAAGTTTTGATTCATTTACCAATTAGTCTCTCGCTGGTAATAAACTTGACAATTATATACAGATAGTCGACCTTCCCATTGATAGAAACAAGTGCCCCTTAACACACAATTCGTCAATATTTTGAGTTAGAGCTAAAGAAGTTTTCTAAAATTTAGAAATAACTAGAAGATTGTATGGTTTCAGAGGAGTTGCGGCTCAATGAAATCAGTCTCTTCCTTTAGTAGTATAGATATGTCCCAATATTATTCAGAAAGCGCAGGTGCGATTCTTTTAATAATTTATTGTCTCAAAAAATGCACTACGAAATAACAGTTCTCGGACTAGCCTGTGATCCTGGCTCACTGCACGACAGTAGACTTATCGAGGAATTATTAGATTGGATCAGGATGCCAGGCTATTCCCGGACCGACTGACTGAAGCTGCTAAAATTTAAAAAAAAGGTTGTATGGTGGTGTATCGACTGCATATTTGTACCTCCGGCTTTAGCAAGACTGGCTCTTTTAAAATATCTATTCCATAGTTAACGTTGTTTATTTCTTCTATATCTAACATTCCTGAAAACATTAAGATACTTCCAAAACATTGTGAAAGTAATAGGAAGATCGAGAAGCTGGAAAAGTGATCCATGTTTGTTTTGGTTTAATACGCATGCGTATGATTACGCGACAAATTCCGAATGGAGAAAGGGTATAACAAAACTCGTATCCCGTTTCTTCCCTAGATACCGATATTTGCATTTACAAAAAATATAATTACTTTTCCTTTCATTTATGTATTTCTCTATGTAGATGAAGAAGAATTTCACTAATCTGAAATCCAAACAATAGTTTTGTTACCAAATAACAAAATAAACAAAGCCTTTCAACTGATTTTATATTGAGTTTGTTCTTATGGTATGATGGAACGCTTAGGCTGGGTACAAGTTTTTAAGAAGTTTCGATGTTCCTTCTGTAGTGATTTTGATTTGTTTCATTTCGAATTTGTGTTCTGTCGATTTAAATGTTTTTAGTTCACAAACACTATTATGCGATAATGTTTAAAATACAAAATAAGCAGATGTGTATGGCAAGCTAAAGAGGACAAAAAGTAGATATAAGAAGATGTGGTATGAGGGCCAATGAGACAACTCTCCATCCAAGTCAAAATTTAAAAAAGTAAACCATTATAGGTCAAAGTACGGTCTTCAACACGGAGCCTTGGCTCACACCGAACAGCAAGCTATAAAGGGCTCAAAAAAAATTACTAGTGTAAAACCATTCAAACGGGAAAACCAACGGTCTAATCTATATAAAAAACGAAAATCGAGAAACACTTATGAACCACATCAACAAACGACAACTACTGAACATCAGATTCCTGACTTAGGACAGGTGCAATTTGAACAAATACAGCGGGTTTAAACGTTTTAATGGTACCCAACCTCTTCGACCTTTTTCTGAAACAATAGTGTAACATCACAACATAGAAAGACACACTATAAAATACCAACTGAAATAGCTTAACTCAATCAAAGGACATATAAACACCAGTGAACATACACTGAACAAATAAATTTGACCTATGATACAATGTAAATACAAAATAAATAAACTAAGGGAAGAATAATAAAAGTAACATGTTATACCGCTATGAAATGTTAAACAATTTAAGAAAAACAATATGCTCGAACAAAATAATCAGCCATTTGCAATTACTTTAAACACAGGTAAATGAAAATGATATTGTTGTTAGGTATACGTGTACAGTTCAAATAGAGAAAGGAAATATTTTTATCAAATAAATAATTTTGATGTTCATAGTACGAAGTGAAAATTTATAGTAATACCAAACACTTATCAAAGCTGATATATAGACCAGATATAATCCTGAATAACATTAAATAACAAAAAGCATTACAATTAGTATCAACAGGTCAAATAAACAAGAAAGTACGATTTGAGACGGTACTCGCAGTTACTGACAGCTAGTTAAAAGCCAAAAACAATAATAAAAAATCATGCATCAGAGACTAAAATCAACTAAAACACATCCCAGGGATTTAGTATTCTAACGTCATGGACAGTCAAAGAAGACATGACTTGTGCGATGCCAAAAATAAATGTATCGACAGGCAGTAGGATAGTTAGGAGTTTAACCTCTTTATAGATCAAAATGAACGTAGGTGTGTCTTTATACATCCCGTTTGAAAAGAATACAAATTTAGATATTTTTTAATTTGCTGATGACAAAATCGATATTAGTGCCAATGTAAACTATATTCAAAGATTTAATTACAACATTGGTAAGATAACCTTTACTAATAAGTTTGTTTAAAGGTTCGATGAGTTTACACGGATCACATAGTGATTTCCACGCTTTATTAAAGTACAATATTATCGTAAAATTTAGGATGTGAAATACCGTTTTTAATCAGATTACAGGTACAGCCAAATTTACTAATCAAATCTTTGTATCTATGAAAGAATTTAGTAAAAGTTTTACGTAATTTATGGTAACGAAATCCCTGACTTAATAATTTACCAGTGATGCATTGATTACGTTCGTTAAAATCTATGACATCACTACACACACGGGCATAACGAACGAGTTGGGATATATAAACACCGTATGATGGAGCCAAAGGAACATCGCCGTCTAAAAAGGGAAAATTAACAATAAGGAATGAAAAGTCGTCTCTTTTGTCGTAAATTTTCGTATGGAGTTTTCCTTTAGAGATTGAAATGTCTAAATCTAGAAAAGGACAACTACTGCTGTTTATGTTAGATTTAGTTAAAATAAGTTCTATTGGGTAAATTTCGGTAGTATATTTAGAGAACTCTGGATTATTTAACGAAAAGATATCATCTAGATAACGGAAGGTATTGTTGAATGTATCAACCAAATGTAACAATGACGTGTCTTTACTGAGTTTGGTCATAAACTGAGATTCATAGAAATACAGGAATAAAGCTGCTATTAAAGGGGAGCAGTTAGTGCCCATAGGAATACCTACTACTTGTCGATACATTTTATCGCCGAAACGTACATATATGTTGTCCAGGAGAAAATTTAAAGCTTCAATCATATCTTCACATTTCCAGTAAGTGTATCTAGCATGCTTTCCTTTTTAAAAAGAGCCGTTTTAAAAGAGCATTTTTTAATAATGAATTTCTGATATTAAAAAATCATTTATTAATATTAGAAATTCATTTTTTTAATATTAGAAATTCGAAAGTATTTTCTTATATTAGAATTCGAAAGTATTTTCTTATATTCGAAATTCATTTTCTAATATTAATAAATGATTTTTTGGTATTAGAAATTCATTTTTTAATATTAAGAAATCATTTTCTAATATCAAAAAATCATTTTTTAATATTAAAAAATCAACTTTCAGAGTTACAAATTAAAATCTTCATCACTAAAGAGTTTTGACTTGTTTATTTTCTATTCAATATTAGAAAATAAATTCTTAATATTAGAAAATCATTTTTTAATATAAAAAAATAGCTCTTTTGTCCACTTTGGCTTGCCATAGATTTGGTAGTATTGCCAATGAGACAATATGAGCCTTCAACAATGAACAAAACTCATACTGTAAAGTCAGCTACAAAACGGGGCCCGACATTACAAACTCATGTAAACTATTTTAAAACGTAATGATCAATTAACTGCCTTATTCATGATAAAATAATAAACGAATTCCAAATATGACAGGCATGCAGCAACCAATGACAACCACCGAATTACAGGCTTCCGACTTGGGACAGGCACATTCAGAATGTGGCGGTGTTAAACATGTTCAGGGTGGGCGTTTACCCCCTAACCTGGAACAGTGGTGTAACAGAACAACATAAGAACACACGCTAAAATCAGTTGAAAATGGCTTTACTCATTAAATTGGCAAGAAGCAGAAAAAACACCAAATAACATAAAGAGTAAAAGACACGGAGTACCCATATATTTAAAGAGTACTAACAGTTACTGAAAGCTAGTTCAAAGCCAACAAAAACTAATAATAAATCATATTCTCCAAGACTAAAGTGTTAATCAAGACATATTTAACGGATTTAGTGTAAAGACGTTATAAAAGTCAATACCGTATAGTCGGCTATAAAAGACCCCGATATGAAAAATATGAAACCATTCAATTGAGAAAACTAACGGCCTAATTGAATTATTCATAACAAAACCATTTACGAAAAAAAAATATGACAGGCATGAACCAACTGCAACCATTGAAATACAGGCTCCTGACTTGGGACAGGCACATACAGAATTTGGCGGGGTAAACATGATTGAAGGCACAACCCTCCCCTAACCTGGGACAGTGGCGTAACAGCATAATATAAAAACAAACTAAAAATCAGTTGAAAATGGCTTAACTAATCAGATCGATGCAAAGCAGAAAACATCTAACAAATACACAGAACGGACGTGGCAGGGAATTTATAAATCCCTCACAACAAAAAAGACACAAAGTACAGATCTGCGAGGATCGACTCGCAGTTACTGACAAAGTTCAAAGCCGATAACAACTAATAAAAAAATCATGTATCTTAGGCTAATCAGTACACATCCAACATCCAATGGATTAAGTGTAAAGACGTCATTGGCAGTTAGAGAAAACATGACTTTGTGCAATGCCAAAATATAGGTATCGACATATTGTAGATCTGTGAATGTGCATATTTGTATACCAATAGTATTTGGTATGGTATAATTTACTGATAAGAAAATCAATATTTATACCAACAAAAACGATATTCAACAACCTAACTACAGTGCTGTAACCTTTTAGGATAAGTTTGTTGAAAGGATTGATAAGTTTAATCGGATCGTATCTAAATTTCCGGGCTCGGTTAACAACATCAACGCAAAAACTAGGATGTGCTATTCCGTTTGAAATAAATTTTCTACAGGTACAGCCAAACTTGCAAACCAAATCTTTGTATCTATGGAAGCATTTATAGTAAAGGTTTCAAGTAATTTGTGGTAACAAAATCCCTGACTTAATAATTTACCAGTAATACATAGATTACGCTCATTGAAATCCAAAACGTCACTACAGACACGGGCATAGCGAACGAATTAGGATATATAAACACGGTAAGACGGTGTCAAATATGTCCAAAAAAGGAAAATTAACAATAGGGAAAGAAAAATCGTCCCTTTTGTCGTAAATTTTTGTTTAAGAGTTTCTCGTGTAAAACTGAAATATCTAAATCAAGGAAAGGACATTTATTGTTGTTACTATTTGATTTATTTAAAGTAAGTTCATCTGGTAAATTTCGACAGTATATTTAGAGTATTCTTGATTATATAACGAACAAATATCATCAAGATAACGGTAAGTGTTGTTGAATTTATCAATAAAATGGAATTTAGACGGGTTTTTACTGAGTTTTGGCCATACACTGTGATTCATGGTACCCATAAGAATACCTGTTGATAAACTGTATTGCCGAAACGTACATAAATGTTGTCAAAGAGAAAATTTACAGCTGGATCATTTCATTACACCTCCAGTAAGTTTATCTAGCAATTACCTTTCTCATTAGAGAAAAAAGGCTGTAAATGAGATACAGCAAATAAATTTGCAACCAAATTTTTCAAACGACCATTTAATTGAATTGGAAAACTTTTGTTTGGTAAAATAGGTATAGCCAAACTTCGAAACCAAATCTTTATATTTATGAAAGAATTTAAAAAAAGTTTGAAGTAATTTATGATAACGCATATATTAAGTTCTTTGAAATGTGTAACGTTACCACAGACACGGGAATAGCGAACGAACTAGGAAATATACACACCGTAAGAAATCCCAAATTTAGAACATCACCGTCCAAATATGAAAAAAATAACAATAGGAAACGAAAAATCGTCTGTTTCGTAGCATTTATTTTTTTTTTAGAGTTTTCCGTGTGAAATTGAAAAAAAAACTTATCTAGGAAAGTACATTTATTGCTATGGGTAAGATTTATTCAGAGTCAGTCCCATTGGGCAAATCTCCGGTATATAATTAGAGGAGTCTTGATTATTCAAGGCAAAAATATCATCAAGGTAACGATGAATGTTATTAGAATTTTGACGGATACTACTCAGTTTGGCCATAAATGTGATTCCTAACAATACAAGAACAAGTTTGCCATTGCCCATAGACACACCCACAACCTGTCGATTAACTTTATTTACAAAATCTATATAGATGTTGTGAAAGGAAACATTTACAGCTCTAATGAAAAAAATACTTTTTAAAAAATTAATTTGAATAGCAATATTATAATTTTTTATGCGAATCTTCTTCATTGCTGGTTAACATTATAAACATCATGTATTGTATTGTAGTATTGTCTTGTACATTGAGTTATTTTAACACTCTTGGAACACACCCGGACATGATAACGATAAGAAGCTATGACTATTTGTCCAACTAGAACCATTGAGGAATTTTTCAAAAAATAATCAATCGAAAAATAAAAAAATGTAGAGTCAAGAGTCAAGGAAAAAGTACTGGATTTGCAAAAATCCACTGGTTACTTTAAATTTTGATAAACAAATAAATGTAATTGAAACTTTGTTATTGTTATTCATCACTGTAACATTAAAGCTATTGATATTCTGACTAAATATACCATTCAAGGTCATATTGTATTATAATTTATCATTAAAAAGTTATTGAATTTATAAATACAAGGCTGTAAGAAAGAATCATAATGACATGTGTTTAGGGGCTTCTTTCCAAATTTGGATTTTGATATTCGTAGACAATAACTGGACATTCATAATATTTTTGTGTTAAACATCCTTTTAAATCCATGTTTAATAACTTAATTTTTATACGCTCACGATACGTAGCAGATTTTGAGTTTAAGGTGTTTAAAAGTTATGACACAATTCCTTTTTTGCACCAATAGTTACATTTATTTGAAATAGTTCTATATCATTGGTCGTTACTAATTATAAAACGCATAGTCACTATGTGCGTAATATTACGCTAAAAGGAGTCATTCTGGAACTATGTATCAAAACACCTGTACCACTTAACCTATATATAGGCTAACTGTTTACATGTTCAATATAGTGTCCTTGGTGTAACACAAGGGATAAACATTATATAGGCAAAGCTGCAGATAACCATTATGAATTTTAAGTCATCATTTATTATCATTTGGGTTTTATCGGTTGATGCAGGTAGGTTAAAAGACGATTTAAACAAATTGTTCCAATTTCATATTTAAATTTCTCATGTATACTAAATGTTTGTGTTTAAAGAGGTATACTGGGGTTATCTTTAGGACAATATCAACTAACATTCAACTCTTATAAGGTTTTACAACAACATATATGGAAGGGAGAAAATGACAACCTTGTCGTACTCTGTAACTGCAATAATAATGACAATTAATCAGAGCTTTGATACAACGAAAAAATGCAGTAGTGTCCATTAGAGAGAAAAAAAACACGAGTGAGTGTAATAATAAAACGCTCAAAGTGTACATCATTAAACTACAAAATGCTTTTTTTTATTCTTTTTCAGTTTTGCGTATACAGGGCATACCGATAAAACATTCCAAGTTGTACAGGAAGTTTAATTTACCCCCATACGCTAAAAGCATTCATCCTTTCATCTATACACCGTTCACCAAACCCTTTCATATATTCCTCCCGATGTTTTACGGACATAGACAAAATTCGATCAGTGTTCTGACAAGGACTGAAACAGATTATGAATACGTCAAAAACAAAGGTACAACCACTGTACCGACACTGCAGACTACAGAAAAATCATTGGGAAGAACAGAGCCATCCGTTCTACATCATACAACTCCTCGCATGGAACCAATGGACATACCAATTCTTCCATTATAAGATTAAGAACTGCTACAATGGAGATTCAATCAAGATTAATTAAACGCAAATTCAATAGAATAATAAAAATATATTGGAGCTAGACTTAGGGTCTAATCTCTAATGGCGGCAAGTGTTGTACTTTAACTACTTGATGACGATCGATGATAGATTATGCACCATAGATGACAGATAAAGGCTGTTAACGAAAGAAGTAGAAGACGTTTCTCACGATGTTGTTACTAGCGAGCGTTTCACGTATAATAAAAGAGTTTTGACGTTGTTCCAAAGAACGTTTCAAGCGTTCAAGCTTAAACAAATGTATTTGATAAATGAATTTATTAATCTGATTTCGGTTTGTCAAAAAATATGCATAGTTTTTACTAATGAAACTTAAAGTGGTTTCATTTTTTAATGAATATTCACTTACATGTAGAAATTGTCAGTTGTCAATAAGCTGTAGATAGACGACGTTATAAGCTATTTGAGATGTTAAATTATATGACAAAACTGACTAAGAGAAAACCGAACCTGTGACCAATTGTTAATTGAACATTCATGATAATGGAAACATTTGTCTTGCTTTCCAAAGCTATAATGCTTTCATTCTGTAGTTTCGCGAATAGATAGTCTACGAATGAGACCACAAGGACTTAACCTTAAGTTTATATTACCATAATGGTACCATACGCTACAAATTTATTGTTTTGAATATGATTCTGCATATTTTGATAAAATGAACCCAAAAATAAAACCTGTTACACCGATGATCACGTGATCAGTATGCTGGAGTTTCTCATTGACAACATGTTTGTTGAATTTGGAGATATATTTTTCCATCAAGTTTTCGGCATTCTTATGGGAACCAACTGTGCACCTCTCCTGGCCGACCTTTTCTTTTTTTCTATATGAGTCGGAGTTCCTTCAGACACTTATAAAAAATCAAGAAGATCAAAGAATCTAGATCATTTAATTTCGCATACAGGTATTTTGATGATGTTCTTCAAGTTCCATTAACAATCCAAACTTTTCTGATTGGGTCCGATTAATATATCTTCCTGAACTAGAGATTAAAGAAACCACAGATATATATATACAGCTTACCCCGCCTCATTTCTAGACTATTACCTCGATGCCGTGGTTAGTAATTTGGGTATGATAAGGTGTTAAACAGTAGACACATATTCAATCTGATTAAAATCAGATCTATCTTAACTCGAGTGCTCGTATATAATATATTTGGCGCAAACATATATTTAACTTATTTTATACATTATTGATGTATTGTCTCTTGTTATAGTGGTGTCACTTTAATAAACTATTGAATAAAAATATGAATCTATAACGATAGACATTTAAGAATAATACAACATGGAAATCCAGTTGGAAATAAGGTATTGATTACTGGGACTTTGGTAGTCTCTATTGCATTTTTTCACAACTTGCATAGCATCGGGGCGATTGAGAGGTTGACATATAGTCTATTGTTATAGGCATATATTAATCTCAAGATGTCTTTTATGAGGTTTTGTTTATTTTTTTAGTTGCTGTCTCATTAATTTATATTCCGAATAAATCTTTCATTTGAATGTAGTGTTTTCATTTAAGCACAATGTTATCTTTTCATTAACTAACTTGATTTAAAACTCTAGTAAAATACATACATGGAGATCGGTCACTTGAAGTAACTTCAATAACACACATGTGCATCTGACATACATTTACGGAAAAGGTATAAATTACAGGTAAAAGGCGTGTGTATCCTAGTATTTGTTTATGTGTAAAATGCATTTAAGGTCCTGTATTGTAATTGTAGCTTTGCAAGCTCTTCATTGTGAGTATTCTTAAAGTTTAATGTACTATAACTGTTTTTGTTTGTAAATAGTCTTATTGATGCTGAATAAAGCAACCGTTGGTGTAAATACATTTATATAAACAATGAATGCGAATATCAAGTCAAAGTCATCCCTTCGGAAATTTTATGGACACCATTACAAGTTGGTTGACCGTTATTGGATATCTGTTTCACAGATGACGACGGATATTTGTCAATGCAATTAACCACAATCCCACCCTCTATTCCCGAAACGTTACATCATGGATTTTACTTATCAACAAGTTTGCACTTAAATGAGCAACCCGACGGGTGTCACATGTGAAGCAGGATCTTTTGTATCCTTCCGGATCACCTGATATCACACCCAGATGTTAATGGGGTTTGTGTTGCTAAGCCTTTAGTTTTTATATTAAGTTTTGTATACTGTTGTTTGTCTTTTTGTATTTTTTTGTATTTTGCTATGGCTTTGTCTGTTTGTCATCGATTTATAAATTTAAATATCCTTTTGGTATCTTCAGTCTCTCTTTTGCTTGCGTCTTCAGACTACCAGTCTTATGATTTGTATTATAAAGTAGTGAATCTTAATAAGTCGCCAGTCCCTAATCACCATAAGCAGTGTAAAAGAATTATAAGAAGACAAAATAGCGTAACATTAGTCCGACAATAATGTGTTAAATGATAGGGAGCAAAAACGACAACCCTGTGACAGACAACTTTTAAACATAGCGATTTGGTTTTGCATCACTTTAATTTTGATTTACAAAGATGCTAAGTTTTTCATTCATTTTTTGTAATGACTGCCATACATATACTCTGATTCTCCAGTGACAATAAGTTAGTAAGTGGTTAGAAATGTTTGGAATCCAAACCGTAAAAAGAGGAAAAGGGAAAGTTATATGAATTACGGTAAACGTAACTTCTTCAGGTAATCATGTCATACCATAACATTATATATAAGACATCTGGTTGTTGATACACGAGTAGTGCTATGAACAGTGGTATCATTATGTAATTATGTGAACAAATACCAAAGAGGTTATATTAGCTCCTTGACACATACTGAATAGAGTGTGTACTACACATGTACTATTATCAAATGTTCATGTGCACTCAAAGACAAATATCTTAAATAAAATCCACTGGAAACACAAATGAACAGAAAGATGTATATAATGTAAGTTTAATTTATGAATTTCTGTTTTATTTACAGTCACAGGCAATGGTGCTGTAACAATTAAACTGCCGGGTTTGGAGTCAATCAAATTACCCAGTATTCCGTCAATCAAGTTGCCCAGTTTTCCGTCAATTAACCGCCCAGTTCTGCCACTATTTAACAAGCATTTCAAACCAAGTTTCAAAATATCGGATGAACGAATAGACAAGAGAACGACAGCGATCACTGGTATATTACCGACAAAATCACTGTCTAACACTGAAGTGGCCTTTTCATCATCTACTTTAAGAAGTACTTCCGAATATTTACCCACAGTGGAGAATTACATGTCAGTGGCACACACATAGACAATCCTACTACGATACAAATAATGGCACACCAGGACGTGTACTGCGGACAAATTGTAACGGAAGGCACCTCACATAACATTCAGATTCATCTTTTGACAATTTTGATCAATCGAACTGAGGACACGTATATTATCTTGAACCAAGTTTATTATCACTAAAACTTTTTAGATGTCCAATGTTGTGTTGTTGAATTTTCAGGAACTTTTAATTTACTATAGATATGGAAATTTATTTTTTATTGACCATACCAGTAGTTTTATTACACGTGTGAACCAAAAAGGCTTCCGTTTAGATAGTACACTGAGAAAGACTTATACAGGCTGAACATAACTCTTATAGACAAAAATCTAGATTCTAGGAGACATGACAGAGAAATATTGTTGATCCGAATAGTACAGCCTGTACAGTGAACTCAATCAGATCAATCAAAACAAGTTTACTATCACAAACTTTTCAAGATGTCCATTTTTTCAGTTTTTATCTTGTATCTCAAAAGTATATAGATGAAAAAATATAATAATTTTCACAAAACAGTTATTTTACAGGTTTCCGCACAGAAATAGTAACAAAATGTGTATGACCTTCTGAACCCCTTATCTCTGATCATAATCTACATATTTCAACATCAAATTGAAGCACGCGCCGATCTAGCTACTATTTACCATTTGCATTGTAGACACCTTTAAGAAATATTTGTATTTTGGACGACCTTTTGCTATTTTAAGACCTTTAAACACACAATATTTTCAGTAGACATATAATATTATGTATTAGATCAAAAGCTTAACTTCCAATTTATTTAAGCGTGGTTCAGTTTGAAATTAAGCTTCTGCCGTTACTACAGTGAAATAGTGTACGTTTTACTCTGTTCATCCCCAATGTGATAGTCGGCGAATTAAGGATGAAGGTTTTTCCCTCATCGTAGATCTGCTGGAGGCAACTATAGCATTTTTTTCTCATGCATATTGTCAAATACTCAACGCATATATATTTGGTCGATAAAAAAAATGATCAAGTCGGTTAGTTATGTCGGAAAGGATCGACAGTGACCACTGAAAAAGAGGGCTTGCTGAGCAGTCAGATTTTTTCTTTGGAACATTACAACTACATATAAAACCACAAAGATTGTTGCAAGGGTTCGTCAACGTGGAAAGTGCGTGGTATATACAAATTACACAGCTGAAAGAATAACACAACACTTTAGCAAATTGTTACCCCTAGAAAACATTGTTAACCGAGGCGAATTTAAGGTTGGCGATATTATCTGCTCTATCATCCTCAATCTAATTAAAATATAGAACTCGGATTTCGTTAAACTGCATACGAGTTTAACGAAATCCGAGTTCTATATTTAATTAGATTGTATCATCCTCTTAGATAATGTGTTATTTGATTTATTATACAAACTGTGCTGTTAATTGTTATTGTCTTTTGAATTGAAATCATGGCCTTTTAAATAATCAGGTCTTTCCACTATTTTTTGGAAAGACCTATTGTATTTGTTCTGATTATTTTTTTTCTTCTTCCGCCAAATTTCAAAACTTATTTTAAGGTTTCGCAAGATGTCACTTAGATTTTTTGCATATGATATCGAACAGTTATTGCGCTTTTTAGTGAGACTGACCCTGTTTAGTCGAAGACTTTTTATTGTAAGAGTTATCTCCCAAAACACTGTTTTCTTTGTGGTGAGATCTCCTTTTGAAGTTGACATAAGTGATATGTCAATGTATCACATGAATGGTAAGTAATACAGACCTAAGGTACGTGTATTTGAGGTCCTGGGTTCATAAAATGAATTTGAGGTCAGGGTCAAAGGTCAATGTCATGTTCTAAATTTTGACTTTTCATTGTTCCGAGATCTCCTCCGTAACCGTAAAAGAAAGCGACAAATTTATTTAACTAAATTGCTCGTTATATCATAAGGATGATTTGTCAATTTTAACCGAATCAATTCGTAGACTCCATATGACAGTTATTTCCACTTTTGAATTTTACATAAGTGACATGTCAATGTATCACATGAATGGTAAGTAATACAGACCTAAGGTATGTGTATTTGAAGTCCTGGGTTCATAAAAATAAATTGATGTTCAAGGTCAAAGGTCAAGGTCATGTTCAAAATTTTGACTTTTCATTGTTCCGAGATCTCGTCTGATAATCTTGGAGATATATTTAAAAGAATTAGTGTAAAATGTTTGCCTCATTGTGATGAAGATATGATACATTTGGTCTGAAACATCTTATAGGAGTTATTGTCCCTGAAATGATTCAATTTAAGGTAAATTGATTATTTCTCCAACTTGGTACATGATAAAGCCATAGGGTCTTTTGCAAACTGTTGGTTGACATATGGCCTTAAAAAATATCAACCGGAAGTGACCTTGAGTAAACCGGAAGTAGCAATTTTTGCACTTATTTCATGGAAAAGTACCTAGAAACTATATGTTTTTTAAATATGCATACATAAACCCATCATTTGAGACCAGAAGTGACCTTCACTAAACCGGAAGTACCTAATATCTCCATTATTACAGGCAAAAGTATATAGAAACCATATATTATTGGAATCAGTGTAAATAAATATACCATGTGAGACCGGAAGTGACATTTTTTAAACCGGAAGTTGACAATTATCTCCCTTATTTAAGGCAAAAATATATAGCAACATTTATTCATTGAATCAGTATGAAGAAACCTATGCTTGGACGCCTATAGTAACTTTGAGTAAACCGGAAGTAGCTTCTCATCAATAATTCAGAAAATTGATGTGGAAAGACCTTCAATTGTTCTCTGAACAATTAGTTTTTAATTTATTTAAATTATTGATAGTTTTATTGTTCTGCAGGAGAGGGTAATATTTAATTACTTCCCAAATCGTGACATTCTCCGAAAGCAAAATGATAAGTTCATTCATACCATGCCTATAAATGCTCATAATATAACAATTGTCTCAGTTGTCTGAATAAATTGTCCTAATTTAGGGGGTACATCATAGTTGACATTCTGGATGTTTTGCAAACCAGTTCTGACAGTTGCGAATTCTGAAATTCATAAAAAAGAAGAAGTGAGAAAAGCGGTCGAGTTTTACGTGTACCTTCAACGATAATATGACTGTATTAAAACAGCATGCCCAAAATGGTCCAAGTCAGAAAAACAAAATTTATTTGCGTTCAGGAAGGTGGAACACTTAAGCGGAATTGTGTTATCGAAAGATCTGAGATTTAATTACAGTGTCCCGAATAACCGATAACTATATACTGGCAACTTAAGTGACAATTAACTTGAATTTGACTGTTATTTTAGGTCCTTTTTGGTCATATAGCCCTTCAACTGTTTTGGTTCTTATACACCCTGAACTGGCTTTCAAATATTCATTGTTATCATTTTTTACAGCAGTGGGCTGATACCGCTATCGGTGGACTATCAGTCTCCGATGGTACCATCAGCTCAGTAGTCAGTACTTCAAATCTGACATGATTTAAAAGAAAACATCTTGAAATTGTCCGTTTGTAAATTTATAAATTAAGAAACAACTTCCTCAGGCAAAATTGACCTTGGATGGATTTGGCTACTATTTTTTGTCATATAGCTCTTCAACTGTTTCGGTTCTTAAACATCCTTGGCCTTCAAATATTCGGCTATGAGCGTTCCTGGTGAAGGTTAATCCAGAAAAGTGCTTCGGACGCATGAAATTTATAAAGTGTAGTTTTATTTTTTTTTGTTATATCGTACATGATGAATAAGAGCAAGAACATATAAAACAAGACCAATACCGGACCTTGACCTGCGTCGCTGCGTGCAATTGATCGAGGTAACATGTATACTGGAGCATAACTGATCATTCCCTTTCACTTAAGCCAAGAGAATTAACTTTAATTGCCTTGTACAATGAGTGTTGTAAAATTTCAAACTATCGGCAAACAGGAAGTGGATAATACCAATCTAATTAAAATATAGTTCTCTGATTTCGTTCGTTATACTACATATGTAGTATAACGAAATCAGAGATCTATATTTTAATTAGATTGTGGATAATACATGGCTGCAGATATAAAAATTGCTTACTCGCTACAAATCAACATTATAAAGCTACAGACCAAATATTATATCATTCCCTTTCATAGAAGCCAAGAAAACTTTGACGAAAGATTTATTTTGGACTGACTGACGGACGGACGGATTCAAGCGGTTACTAGACCTGCTTCCACCTTCGGCGACGCAGGTTATAAGTGAAAATTAGTCAAAATGTTAAAGAATAAAAAAAAAATTAAACTGTCAAAAAAAGGAAAAGTTAAAAAAAAGATGTCCACGCACCTAGCGTCTGTGGTTTAAACTTCAGTGGAAGTCACTAATATAGAGATCCTACAACAAATGTTGAAAATTTATGCTGCGTGCGGCTTATTTGAGATGATTGTAACAAACTGGTCTTCCAAATAGGAAAGTTCTTTATATCTGACTGGTTTCCATTGAAAGATATTGCCTTAATTTATGGCTTCTATGCCTTTGTTGGCAACAGAAAGTGTTAAGAGTTTCGCTTTGTCATCTTTTTCAATATAACCTGGTATGAAAGTCTATGATTGGCATATCATTTTCAGGAGGAGTATTTGCTTAAAGTTACCTTGATATTAAGGCACTATTAAGGCTTACATTCTTAACGAACAATTCGAAAGTGTTTTCACTTGTGAAAATACATCAGCTGTGCCATATAAAAGTTCAAGTCCATTTTTCAACCATACCATAATTGTCTTAATGGCAATCATACCACATCTCCCTATTTTGATATAAATGTTTCAGAAATAGTTTTATAAAATTTCTTATAAACTCAACAAATTACATTGCCACTGGTCCTTATAAAATCCTAGCATATTTCTTAGATAATTTATCAGGAAAATTGATATATTTTTTTTTATATTTTCAAAAATCAATTAATTCTGGTAATATTTCGACAGATTGGAAGCATGCTAAAGTAGTATGACTGTTAATCATAGCGTCGTATGGCTAAATCAGTCGGAATACACATCTAATTATATATAACCCTGCTTGCAAGTACTTATCTGCCATGATGATCATTGACATATATCTATAGTTATTTTTGAGAATTAAAATGGGACAAACCATCGTAACAGGAAAAATTACACATGTGGCATGTTTTTTTCTTCATCTGTTATAAACTTTT